CTTTACACATTAATTATTTTATATAAAAAGTTACGCTGCCGGTATTTTTACAATGAATAAAAAGTGCCTCGCTCGCACATACAATTGACAAAAATAAATAAACAATATGTAATTTTAATCTTTCTTCATGAAACAAGACATTTGTCTTCCGCTATTTGTCATTACGGCTAAATAACACGTCACGCTGCCGAAAATAATCGGCTATTTTAATAACAACATTAGCGCTGTGAAAATCGTCAATTGTGCGTTTTCACGGCGATTGTTGGTCTCGGATGGTTGGTCTTGATGTTTCTTCCATATCTATAATCGAGAGCAATTCCATAATCGAGAGCAATTCTGCCGTGTGGAATTTAGAAATCGCCTACGTTTTACTCCATCACCCTTCAAAAAGCACAAAGCTGTAATATCACTCTTCAATGAGCACAAAAACGAGACTTAACGCACCGCTGCGCACAATTCGAAGAAGGTTTGCTACTAGCTTCACAGTGGTTAATGTCTGAATGTATCATAAAATTCAGGATCTGATTCAGTGATTTAAACTCGGCAGCTCTGTCTGTCATCAGGGATGGCCAATACCGAATAATTCACTATTTCGAATACATTCGAAATTATCATTTTCGAATATGAAATTTCGAATACTTCGAGAATAAATTCAAGCTTATCTTATTGTATGGCGGAATTAGCATACATTAAACAATGGAATAATCGTTACCTACAAGCTGGCTACCAGAAAATTTATATCCACCGCTTGCCGTGGTATTTTATATACCCTTTTAAGTACGAAATTGCGAATCAAAATTAATTATAATAGGGCGGTTTACCATTAGTTTATATCCACAGATTGCCATGGTATGTTAAAGTTACTTTATTGAAAGTAAACCTTTCATTTTTCGTAAGACGACGCAACCATGAGTTAGGCTACGTTTAACAAAATTATTTTTTTGTGAGTACAAAAATATGAATCAAAAATTAATTATAATTCAGCATATTACCACACATTATATTTACACAGATTACTGCGTTATTTTAAAGTTGCAATGCTTTTGTTTTTCGTAAGTACGAAACTAGTAATCAAAAATTAATTGTAATCAGGCAGTTACCACACATTTTATGTCCACAGATTGTAGTCGTATCTTAGAGTAGTAATGCGTTAATTTATTTGTTGAGTCGGCAAATTTATGAGTTACGTTAAACACAATTAAATTAATACAATGAGTCATTTTAAATGCTGTAATCGGTCATGGATTTGAATATTTTGTCGCAACAGAAAATCAACTTACCGTAGTTAAAAATCCATACTTTCAAATATCATTATCAAAATTATTTTACTGAAGGCTGGAAATAATATAAATTAATTTTCCGTGAGTACGAAAATATGAATAAAAAATTAATTGTAATCGGGCAGTTTACAACACATTTCTGCCCACAGATTGCCGTGGTATTTTAGAGTTGTGATATTATTTGTTTTTCGTAAGTACGGAAATGGGTATAAATTTTTTTTTTATAATTGGGCAGTTTACCACACCATTTATGTCCGCGGATTGTCACGGTAATACTTTCATTTTTTCGTTAGTCGACGTAACCACGAGTTACGTTAATTAAACAAAATTGAATTAATACGGCAAGGCATTTTAAATGTTGTTATTGTTCATGAATTTGAATATTTTGTCGCAAAAGGATAATCATAATAGTAAAAAGTTGATACTTTTGACAATCATTATCAAAATTATTTGCCAAAAGCGGGAAAAAGTTTAAATGATTTTTTTCTAATAAATCAACTCGTTTTTCGGATTTCGGAGAATTTATTGGGTGTCGTAATTTGTAACAAACACGACTTTATTCAACTTAGTTAATATCTGACTAATTGTATTAACGTGAGACCCGTGATTCAATACAAATGAATGCGTAAGCCGTAAATTAAAAGCCTTGCATAGGAATCAATCTCGCAAATGTGTCGCAACAATACGAGGCGCGCGCTCGCACAGAAGAAACGAACAATCAAAGAGCAGCAAGCAGCGTGAGACATGGCGGCTTCTTACGCCGACGTTTTGAAAAGTCAATCTGGCGTTATTCTGCCACTCAGAGACAAAATTAAAACAAGGGAAATTCGACGACCACATTGTCTGCATATGCAATTTTCGAGAGAAAAACCATTCGAAGACGGCTTCAGAAATGCAGCGAAAAACATTATTTTACAATGCTTAACTAAGAATCATGTTAAAACCATTGCAGTCAGACCATATAACTCTATCGATGTAACGTGTATTTCAAGAGCAGCGGTACTGAAGTTATCAACGTTTTTGGAATCTCACCCTATACCTGAATGCAAGTGGTATTTATATGAGCCTGAAAAGGTTAGGGTTGACATATCATGGGTGCCAGGTCACCTAACTACAAGTATGATAAAAACTGCTTTGCTTAAACATGTTCAATTTGATTCAGAGGTTTCTGAATCAAAAGATAAAGATGGAATAGGACAAGGAACCATGAATGTTCAAATACAACCTAAATTACTCAATGAAAATCCAATACCAAGCTATATATATGTTGATGGGTACATGCTTACAGTTAAATATTATGGTCAAAGAAAAACGTGTAAGCAGTGTGGTTCGTTTGAGCATTTTAAAATTGACTGTCCACTGAGAATCCAAAACCAAGAGAACAGACAAAGAATGCAAAAACAAAGCAAAATCACTGCACTAAAAGATATTGTAAATATAGATAAGCTTCCTCCAAAGTCTCAACATCAACAAAATCGAACTGAACAGGTTATCAATTTGTCTAATGTTTCATCATCTACTCAGGAAGAAAATAAACAGAAAGCCTCTTTGCAAATAACACCAAAAACATCAAACCATACACTACCCAATTCGAAAAGCATTATCGAAACACCCAAGACGTCACAGTCAACCAAAATGCAAGAAAATCAAAGTCTCTTAGTCGGACAACAAAAGCGTCTTCATTCAGACAGTCCAAACGAACAACCCCGTTTCCAACGAAAATTTGACAATGTATCAAGTGATGGACATGAGGTAATATGATAGATGAGGAAACCAGTAAACTTCTAATGTGTGCCAAATGCGGATCAGAAATAATACTCTCTGATGAATCAAAAGAGGTCATGTGTGAATACTGTAGCACATCGAATTTGATTCTCAAACAGTGCTGTCAGAATGATGGTTATTTTGCTCTACCCAAAGACGTGGCAAATATCAATACCCCTATTCCTTGCAACTTGTGCCAGCAATTAGTCAATTATTCACCTTGCTGTTTAGAAATAAGTGAATGGGAAAATAATTTACTGAAGTGCAAAACCTGTTCAACTGTCTACATCAAATGCCATTGTTCCTCATTAATCATGCCACCTGTAAAAGGTATGTTTAAAAAATGTGATAATGTTCATTGCAATCAAATAATAACTTTTTGTTCCTGTGGTATAATAAGTGCAGCAGAAAATGGTCCTTCATGTACCTGTGGTAATTACCAAGCAAACTATAATTGTGATTCTCTGACTAATGGATAGTACAGCACTAAATATAGGTTCCTTCAATACAGGGGGAATAGCAAACTTTGAAAAAAGGAAACAAATTTTTACATTCCTCAAAAGAAAAAAACTAGACATGATTTTCTTGCAAGAAACTCATGGAACAGATAAAGATGAAAATCTATGGTTAAAAGAATGGGGAGGTACTGGTGTATTCAGCCATCATACAAGTAAATCCTGTGGAGTAGCAATTTTGTTCAACATAAATGTCAATTATAGTATACATAAAACACTAATAGACTCAAATGGAAGATACATTGCTCTGGAAACAACTATTGGAGGTGAAAAAATTGGTCTTCTAAATCTATACGGTCCCAATGTGGACAAGCCTGAATTTTTCGAAGAATTGATTGAAGTTTTAGATAATATTGAATATGATCACCTAGTAATTGGGGGCGATTTCAACCTTGTATTGAATAATAACTTGGACAAACATGGTGGAAGGACGATACATAGTAATCAAAAATCTAGAGAAACTGTTCTGAATATAATAAGTGAATATGATTTATGTGACGCATTTCGTATAACTCATCCTACAGAAAAATCTTATTCACATCTACAAAAACCAGCTAAGATTCTTACAAGAATTGATTTTTTTTATTATCAAATACTCTTTTGGAAAAAGTAAGAACCTGTAATATTGTACCAAGTATAAGATCTGACCATTCCCTTTGCACTTTGGATCTTCAGCTCAACCCAACACCACGTGGTAGTGGATACTGGAAATTTAATTGCAGCCTACTCTATGATGAAGATTATGTTAATTCAATAAGAACTGTTATATCTAATACCATATATGATCATTCTCATCAGCCTGTCAATCCTCATCTTTTTTGGGACACCTTAAAATGCGTAATTCGAGGAGAAACTATTGCTTACTCATGCAGAAAAAAAAGACAAAGAAATAAACTGATGACTAAGATAGAAAACGACATGAAGAATTTGCAGACACTACTATTAATAGATAACTCTGAGCAGACATACAACAATCTGTTGCTAAAACAAAAGGAATATGACAATTTGTATCAAGATATTACTAGAGGATGCATCATACGAAGTAAGGCTAATTGGGCTGAAAATGGTGAAAAGAACTCCAAATATTTTTTTGGATTAGAAAAGAGGAGAAAGTCAAATTCATCTATTACAAGACTAACAGTCGACAATCATACAGAGACAGATCAAACGATTATATTAAACAAAATATGTAATTACTATGAAAATTTTTTTTGTTCAAATATGCCACAGGAAAACGAGATTGATAATGTTTTAAATTACTCCAGAAATGGCAGATGAAACATCTAAAAAATGTGACGGCTCGATTTCAATGGCCGATTGTAAAACAGCACTCTTTTCAATGAAAGATAATAAAAGCCCGGGCATGGACGGAATTCCTTGTGAATTTTACAAAAAGTTCTGGGATGAAATCAAGGTTCCTCTATTGAACTCCTATAATTATTCTTGGTCTACAGGAACACTTAGTGATAGCCAACGCAGTGGATTGATTTCTTTAATATTGAAGAAGAATAAAGAAAGAAATTATATCAAAAACTATAGACCCATTACATTGCTTAATGTGGACTATAAGATTTTAAGTAAATTATTGACTACACAAATGCAGAAAGTAATGAATAATATCATCAATGAAGATCAAAGAGGATTTCTCAAAGGCAGGCAAATGGGAGAAAATATTAGATTGGTATGTGATTTGGTAAATTATACGTCACATCATAATATACCTGGTGCAATTTTTAATTTGGACATTTGTAAAGCGTTCGATAGTGTTGAATGGCCCTTTTTATTCAACGTTCTTGAAAAATTTGGCTTTCAGCGAAATTTTATATCCTGGATCAAGATCATGTACAAAGACAGCACATCCTGTGTTATAAATAACAACTACATATCCAACAACTTTATATTACAAAGAGGCTTAAAAGAAGGGGATCCACTTTCTCCATACCTTTTTTTGAGCTGCATAGAAATTTTGGCAATTATGGTCAGAGCAGATGAAGGAATCAAGGGAATACGAATTGGCGATTCGACTGTCAAAATAGCAATGGCGGCTGATGACACAACTGTGTTTACAGATGGATCAAGTACCAGTGCTAAAAACCTGTTTAATATTTTAAATGTTTTCGGTGATATTTCTGGATGTAAAACTAATCTGGAGAAATCACACATAATGCAAATTGGAAAACCTATAAACATGGATTACATTTCAAATTTTAGACTTGAAGTGACTGACTCATTAAAATTTCTTGGAGTGAATATCCCTGCTGACTTGTCAAAATTATTTGAAGTAAACTTCCCTCAAATCATAATTAAAGCTAAAAATGTTATCCAAGTGTGGAAAATGAGGAATCTTACATTACTAGGTAAAGTGTGTATAATTAAGACACTAATTGCTTCGCTTTTCACCTACAGTTTTACTTATTTACCTGTTTTCATTCCAGACAGATATATTAAATCACTAAACGCTGCACTATATCATTTTTTATGGAATTCTAAGTGGGAGCGAGTCAAAAGAAAAACACTAATTGGTCCAAAAATGTTGGGTGGTATTGACATGATTGATGTCCATAGTTTTATAATAGCTCAAAAAATTAAGTGGGTGGGGTTTTTATTAGATGATACCAAAGTTTGTAAATGGAAGCTTGTAGAACTTAATTATTTGAAGAATCTTGATTACACATCCTTGTTAAAGGGGAATTTATTCTGGAACTCCCATTTTATGAAAAATATTCCATTTATCACTATTAGAAACATGATGTTATACTGGTATAAGTATAAGAATATTGTTTTGAATGTGCCTATACTTAATCAATCGATCTGGTACAATAAAAAGTTGCAATATAGCAGAAAACCTTTTTTATTTAATTTCTCATAATACTTTCTATACTTATTTTGAGCTACTTGATGAATATAGCATGCAATATAATGTTGATGATTATAGAACTTATTACAAAATCATAGGTCCTGAGGAATGGAATGACATTGTGCAATCATATGTTGAAATTTGTGACTTTGATTTTAGTGAATTTCTTTCAACCACCACTGAAAATTATTCGTGCAAAAATACCTATAAAATAATAATAATGAAACAGTTTGTCTATCCAAACATGTACAAGTCCTTTTGGCAAGAATCTTTCAATATTTCTAGTGTACAGTGGAATGAATATTTCATAAATTCATATTCATCAACTATTGAGACAAAGCTGAGATCTTTTCAAATGAAGCTGTTTTATAAAGCTATAACGCTGAATAATGTTTTATATGGATTTGGGATAGTAGAATCAAACTTGTGTGAATTTTGTAAATTACATATCGAAACCCTTTTGCATTTATTTTATTATTGTGAGATAACTAGTAAATTTTGGTCCGAGATAGACCAGTGGATTGTTTTTAAGACAGATAACTTGAATATTGATCTTTCCATCAAAGAATGTTTTATGGGCTTTGATGACATTCCTGAAATACAATTCATCAATTGTGTACTATTGGCTGCCCGCTTCTTTATATATAGATGCCGGATCCAGAAACGAAAACCAATTTTTGATGTTTTTTATAAATTTATTCGTGATATTCGTGACAACGAGAAATATATAGCAATGAAAAATGGTAAAATCCTGATACACAAAAGAAAGTGGCATTTATTTATATAATAGTCGATCAAGTGACTTAATTACATATTATTTTTTTTCTTTCCTTAAATACATAAATATGTTGCTGTTTTCTTATAACATTGTTAGATACAATTGCAAACATTGTGAGAAATTACCTTTTATAACTGTATTGCTGAATTAAAAATTGTTATTTCAATATTATTCAATTTGCTATATGATTGCCCTTATATGGTATATACCTAAAATGTGAGATTTTTATTTGCTAAATGATTGCCCCTGTATGGTATATACATATAATGTCAGATTTTCTAATAACATAATTAGATTGCGAATGCAAACATTGTGATACTTTTTATGACTGTATTACTGATATTGTTTATTTCAATATAATTTTATTTAGTAATTGATTGTATAGTATATAGATAAAATGTGAAATTCCTCCAATCTTCTGTTTACTCATACCATATTATTAGATTACAATTTCAAACAATGTGAAATATTACTTTTTATGATGCATTATTTATCTTCTAATATTGATTATTTCAATATTATTTTTTTTTATGAAAATCTAATAAAAAATAAAAAGTGCCGACTATTTCACCGTCACTGGATTACGCGACGAAGCGCGGAAAATCGGTTGAAGATTTCTCTTTAAAACGAAACACCTCGTTGACGGCAAAAAAAGTGGCTACTATTCGGAATTATTCGAAAAAATCAGACGAAAAGGTATTCGAATACTTTGATACCGGTATTCAAATACATTCGAATATTCGATTCGTTTTGGACAACCCTGTCTGTCATACATCAGCACATGGTAGCTCCCTGAATAGTCACCCGCTAAGGGAAACACACTTATAATATATATCTAACGTATAGAAATGGTAGACTTACCTTTATTAGCCATAGCCATTGATTATTTTTTTTTTTTAATTAAATATATTAGACATGTTCATTTTAATACATACTAAATTTATACACACTTGATTTATAGTTCAAATACAATTCCTTAGTATTTCAAATCCTCTGACAAAATTTGGTGATTTTCTATTTTTTTCAATGTTGAGTCTGTAAGTGATTGCAGTTTTTATTTGTTTGATAACTAGGTGCTGATTAGGGGGACTACCTTCGAATATAACAGAATTTCTTTGTATCCATATTTTATATCTAGTGATTGAAATTAAATAAACAATAATATCTAAATCTCGTCTTGT